AACAGAGGATCCTACCGAGAAGTCAGATTTCCAACACACCGGGGTAAGTGCCATGGCACAGTAAGCTAAGCTTCCAGCTGCGACTCTGGCATCGATACGGGTACATATTGCATTCCCAGCTGTCCCACTTCCAATCCGGCTCCCTGTCAGTGCACCTGAGAAAGCAATGAGAGATGGCCTGAGTCCTTGAACCTTGAGCTCACAGCAGAGACCCAGAAGCAAATCCCGGCTCCTGCCTTCGGATCTGCTCAGCTCTGCTATCGCGAGGGAGTGACCGAGCAGAGGGCAGATCTTTGTACATCTCTACTTCTCTCTGTAAATCCACCTTTCAAGTAAAAATAAGTGTTTGAAAAGAAATTTCAACAAACTTTTTCCTTGTTGCTGAATCATTGATGTAAATCCTTGTTCTGAGGTGGTGATCACGGGCAGTATTACAACACACAGCACTGCTACCGAGTACACACAGAGCGTTCCCCTCGCCATCCCTCAGTACAGCACAGCAGCCGCTTTCCTACACGGCAGCTACGTCGCGTTGGATGCCGAGAGCCACTGGGAGACGTCTGTGTGGAGTGTGGCACCCGACGGACTGGAGTATCCCCAGGGTTTGGTGACCTCGGGGATGCTGGAACGAAACCCACGTGGATGCCAAGAGACACGTGCCGTCTTCCCAGGTGCGTGTGGAAGCCAGCTCCCCCAGCACCCGACCCCCACAGTGCTCTACTCCACGGGCAGCATGGTCTTGGGAAATGCCCAGGATGCTCCCAGCATGTGCAGCATACAGCGAGACTGCTGTCCTCACCGCCAAGCCGCGATGGCCTGTCGGAGCAGCCGACTGACCGAAGCCGTGAACGAAAGAACATGGGAAAGGCGCGTCACGGAAGGCAACGGCCTTAAGCATGGTGAGGCGCGAGCGTTACTGCCCTGGCAACACAAGTTTCCCACTGCACTTGAGTAATTTCCCAAGTGCCCTGAGCCACAGAACAGGCCACCAACAAGCAAGCGGGGGGAGGATGTCCTGGCACTTCTATGTACTTATAAAACTCTGAAAAGCAATAAAGAAACAAGCTCTATCGCCTATGACATCGCACAAAGCCACGGAGAGACCGGCAAGCAGCTCTTCCACTGAGAACTGGAGGTGCCACTTGTCATCAGCACACATGCATACATACAGAGAGGAGACAAAAGGGCCGCTCTTCCACAAATCTCATTTGAAAGTTCTGTCGCCTGGTATATTTCTACAACCTTCATTTCACAGTTAACTCCCGTATTCCCCACAACCTAACAAAGGCCAGGCAGGGGATGGGCCAGCTGTCATGTCATGTCCAGTTACTGCCCAGGACACATAGCTAGGCACCCCAACAGCAAGCCAAGCCAGGGCATTTGCCAAAAGGGGTTGCAGTTAGGATTACGGTGGCTTCCACCAAGTCACAGCACTTGGCCAGCACACACCAACCTTGCAGCTGGAGCCTCCCTCAGCCTTCCACGCAGGTGCACACTGGCCTCGTGGTTCATTCATAGCCTCTCAGCTCTGCCCACCTGTGTTCTCGGCATGCTGTGCCCATGACCACAGCCAACATCCCTGCCCGAACTTCACACGCATAACCCAGCCCCCGATAGGGCGAGCCTGTGACAGAGGACAGGGGCCACCCAAGGCACCCTGGTGTGTCGGTGCAACTTTCCAGACAGCCTGACCCCGGATGGGGCGGGGGGAAGAAGTGTCCCCCAGTGTGCTGGGGAGCAAATGCGAACTGTTGGAAAGGACAAGATTGTGTGCAAATCTCCAGAAACGGTTTCATGTGGGGTTACTTCCTTACCGAGGTTGTTAAAATCTGCGGGTGAAGAGAGAAAGGCATCTCTAAGTACAGCTAACTACATAGACGCTGAAACTCGGGGGAAAGGTGCATAAAATGAGGAAGCCACTGAATAATGTTTAAATGTTTATTTTCATGTTAAAAATGATGAGTTACCCTGGATTATATCTTTATGCTGAGAAATGGAGTCATTTTATTTACGAAATATTTCCAGAGGAAAAAGAAAAGGAAAAATTCAAAGGTAATGGAGAGTAAGATCAAAACGTTCTAGAAAGTTCCATCACAATCCCGACAGGAGTCACGTCCCTTCCAGGTCAGAGGTCTCAGCTCAGTGCACTGCACCTCAGGCTCCAGCGTCTTCCCATCAACAGATTCACTATTGTGTGAGCGGGGACGTCTGCACGTTTAAAAGCTACAGTTCCGCATGCTTTTATTTGAAAATGCATTTATTCCAATACACTTCTCAGTGATTCAGCATACTGCATATAGTACATACAAAAATATCTGCTACCCACAGTTTCACGTAAGTCTTCCTCCCCCCACAAGGTCCCTCTATGCAACAGGTGAAATGCATTACGTGACTACACACACACACACACACACACACAGTTGCAAGAGGGAGGACTGCTGAGTATGTGGGCCGTCCACCACGGCACTCAGACACTGGGATGAAAGCAAGACTGCAGTTTAGGGGATTAGAAAACCCAGGGGAGCCAATGACACGCGGGATGCGGAGGAGCCCTCCTGCGCCCCCTGTGGTCATACAGGGTACTTTTCTAACGGACAGAACTTCTACTGGAATCCCAACAACTCAACCTTTCTAGAAGAATGAAACAAGAATGTCAATTAAATTCCATGAAAGCGGACTTTGCAAAACTTAGAAACGAGCAGGTTACAATGGCCTGATGGGACAAAAAAAGGATCCATGTCTCCTCTGTGCCCATGTATACAGACACGTTCTGCCAGGACAGTAAGGTCGTGGCGTTGGGGAGTCCTCCCTGGCTCGATGCCCACTGCCTCTTCTCCTGGTTCACAGGGGGCATTCTGAGGTTTGCTAGGAGCCGTTCTCACCAAAAGCACACATCCATCATCTGCTTCTCGTTGCTTTTGAGGCAGCACACGTGTGTGTTTCAAGGTGCGTTCTCCAGGGGCAGCTGCTTCCGGATCCCTCTGCTCAGAGTGGTACAGCCAGACGCTGGGGACAGGGGATACCTGTGTTCCAGACCACAGGAGTTCCCACCCTCCGTGGGGCTCCAGGGCTCCCAGCCTGCAGGCAGGCGCCTTGGGAGGGGTCCCAGCATTCCATTCTCATGGGAAAGGAAGGGACCTGTGAAACTGCGTCAGCTCGGGTTGTTTACTGAGACCATCAGCCACAGGAACTGGGATCCAAGTCAACATACGCCCCTCTTCCCAGGAAGCTGGCTCTCAGAGCCGGAGAGTGCACATCCTGGCCCTCCTGTTGGTTTTGGGTGGCCAGCCCAACGGCCGTGTACGACCATTAGGCAAATGAAGTGCTATGGATCTACATAACCCAGGAACATTCTGCCATGCTGAACAGGGTCGAAACCACAGCTAACAGGGACAACTGGCAGTCACCGTGGCTTCCCACGGGCTGGCACACTCTGGCATGCTCTCTCTCTCCCTGTCTCCCTCTCTCTCCTTATCTCCCTTCTCCCCCCCTCCCCCTTGCTCGCTCTCTCACACACACAAAAGTCCATGTGTTCACACATGGATTAGCCCAATACTAAAAGGGGCCCTCCTCCAGACCCCTCACCAAATGTAAAATTTGGCCTACATTTTGAACAGAGATTCAACACAAATGATGATGGGGGACTCCCAAAGGCTGCATCCCCCAGGGGCTACCCACTGGCCACACAAGGCATCCTCGGGGTACCATGGTCAGTCCGTGGCAACGCCTCAGCGTGTGTGCTCACTAACCAGTGGGCACTTCCTGCACACCCTGCCAAACGATGCTGTTGTCTCAGTCTGCCAGGTGCAGGCAGCCTGCTGAGCGTGTGACAGAAGCCCCAGCTTCTGCTGAGGCTGCTTCCCACCATTTCTGGAATACTCAAGATGCAGAGCGAGCATGGGGTAGTGTGAGAGCAATGGGCTCCTATACACAGCCTGGTGGGTTTCAGCATGTGCGGTCTGCTTTCCTGCTGTACTCGGCGAAGGGGGCCATATCCCCACCTAACCCCTCCAACAGCCTTTGGCTAACTAGGGAGCTTTCCTGAGAAGCTGCCAGCCATTGCTTTGCCAGCTCTTCCTGCAGCATATGCCCGAGTTGGCCAGTTTCCATCTGCACACCACCTGTGGGAACTTGCCACGGTCACTGCTGTGCCGCAGGCCTGAAGCTCACCAGATACACTGCACACTAGCTTCCAGGGGCCATCAACCAACACGCTCTAGTTCCAGGGGCCATGGAGCCGTTTCCCTGCTGCTGCTTCGAGGCCAAAGGTGGCTGGATGGATACATTCAAGTCCATGGAGACCTGAGAGTGCATGTCATGGTCTCCTTCCAGAACTCAGCCCTCGGCCCCAGGAAGCCCAGGACTGCAGCCGCTGGCCTCGGCACACCCTTTCTTCTCAGGATTTGTTATGGTGACCAGTGGCGCAGGGCAGCTCAGAGCTGGCACGTGATCTGGGGTCTGCTTCTCTGAGGAAGTACGCGGCCATCACAGCCTGCACCTCTGACATGCTTGCACCATTTCACACATTCTGCCTTTATTGCAAAACACTAGGCTGGACTCCTCCTCCGGCCAGCTTGTCTTAACATTTAACAGCTGTGGGTTTCCCATGGCACCTGTCTCCTGGGCTCTGGAATCGCTGGAGGTGGGGAGGCACGGCCCTTGTGCACCAGGCCACGCCATCTGAAGGTTTTCTCTTGTGAGAGAGACTGCTTCCAGTGTGGGTCCTGGTACGGATACCTGTCTACATACTGCTATGTGGAAACAGCATTCTACTTACTTTAAAATAAAAAATCATGTCCCTGTGAAACGAGAAGCTGTTTCCAGAGCTGTTCCGAGGCAGTTTCGTGTCTGTGTGCTCGACAGGCCAGCTCCACTGAGTACCCCGTCTGGAGCACACAACGTGCAGACAGCAGCCAAGTGGGTTTGCTCTCAGACACACTCTCCAGGAATCTCCTAGGGATCTCCCACAAGCAAAGAACAGAAATCAACGTGTGTGACTTTTAACTTTTCTCTGATTTTTTTTAAGCTTCATGTAAAAAACTGTAAAGAGATGGCCCTCCCTCATAGTAGGTTAACATTTTAAGTAAAACCCCTTGTCCCAGGCTTACAAGGGAAAGTTCAACAACAGAAAGAAACACAGACGGGAACAGGCTTCCTAGGCAGTGTCCCTCAATGACGAAGTGCAGAAAGCTGGGCTAAAACCCAACGGCTTGCATGGAGACCCAGGAACAGCACGGCACGGCACACCCCAGGGACAAGACGCATACATGGACCCAGTGGATCCCAGAGGAAGGGTGGAAACCTTGGCTCTTCCTGTTTCAAAAGGAAAACCAGAGGTCACAGAACAGGTGCAGGGGCAAACGTATGTAAAAATAATGTGCGGCGCTCCCAGCACACAAGAGTAGCTACATTCAGTCATCTTTCTCACACATCTCAACTCGGGCCGAGGGCAGCCAAGTGTCCACTGTGCTTTAAACGGTCTAGAAATAGAAAAGTCATGCCCCGAATCCCCTCTCCTACATGGCCGTTGGTTGTGAGATGAGTACCAGTGCTGTGGGGCGTGTTTCTTACCGTCACACCGGGCTAGAGCCAGGCAGGACCTGCCCCCGAGGTCTTACTCCAGTCCCCACGGGCGGCTGTTTTGCCTTGGCTGCGCAGGCCTCGGTCGGACACCTGCTGAGCAAGGGATGCCAACAGACCTCCACCAACACTCTGGTAGTCACCCCCTATTGCAGATCAGACCCACCGCTCCACCATCCCAAAAACAGAAGGCATAAAGGTGAATACGAACATAAGAAAGCAGTTACATCTGGTCCTGCAACCTCTCCATGTAGTCCCGGAAGTCCTGCGAGGCCCCCAGCCCCACATCCTGGCAGACCCACTTGATGCTGTCGTCGCTGTCAAACAGGACGGAGTTGGTGTAGGGGCCGCCGTCCTCAGGGAGGATGGTGGTGTAGGAAGTAAACTTGACTCTCTTCCTCTTGGGCCCCGAGGGGTTCACAGGCTCGCTCTGCATCTCCTTCTCGTAGCCATAGTCGGAAGGTCTGAGCAGGTGACTGTGGAAAGTCTTCTGGGAACTGCCGTTGAGCAGGAAGTTCCGCTCCTCGAACGGCAGCCCCCTGTCCAGCACGGTCGTGCACTCCTCCGACGGCAGGGTGATGTCCACCGGGTTCTCCAGCAGCTCCACTTCGTTCCCCAGCCACACCCAGTCGTGAGAGTGCGGGATGTTGCCTTGCTCACTCACTGCCAGCCTTTTGTGTCTGTATTTCCAGGCAAACGCCACGCAGTTGATGAGGAAGACGAGGATGGCGAGGCAGAAGACGCAGAGCAGCGCGTACATGCCGATCTCCAGGTCGCTCAGGCCCCTGGAGGCCACTGTGAGGTCGCTGGGGTCGTGGGGTCCTGGCAGCTTCCCCTGAGTGGGGAAGCTGGTGAAGGCATCCAAGCCCCCGCTGCGAAGCGGCTTCTGACCCCTCCCCACTGCCGGTGAGTGGGAGCTTGCACTCCTATTGGTGCTGTCCTCTGTGCCGGCAGGGACGCCATGGTGTGGCCACTCCTGCACAGCTCTCTCGTGGCTCCCCTCGCGCTCGATGGAATTACTGAGGTGGTGTTTGTACTCTCGGCTCACACCCTCGATGTCATTGGTACCTCCGGGGTGCCCACCGATTCCCGGCTCAAATTTGACCTTGACGTACCCTCTACCTACGGCAAGGATGCTCTTCCTCTTGGTCTTCTGGCACGGCTCACTGATGGTCATCTCCAGCTTGACCAAGGGGCCTTGCCCCTCGCCTTCCGCCACCACCAGCGGCCACTGGGACTGCAGGTCTGGCTGCACAGACACCACCATTTCATCCAGGGATGAGACAGTAACAGAAAAATCCTTGGGCTCGTAGATGTCTAAAGGCGTCACCGAGCCGTCACTGAGCAAAATCCAAGCACTGACTGTGGCTTCCTAAGGAAAATGAAACCAAAGCATTAGGTCAGACACAGGTGCTTTCAGACTTACAAAGATAATTTCTGGGCCCGGCGTGATGGCGCAAGTGGTTAAGGTCCTTGCCTTGCATGCCCAGGATCCCATATGGGCGCCAGTTCTAATCCCAGCAGCCCCGCTTCCCATCCAGCTCCCTGCCTGTGGCCCAGGAAAGCAGTCGAGGACGGCCCAAAGCTTTGGGAACCTGCACCCGCGTGGGAGACCCGGAAGAGGCTTTGGATCAGCATAGCATCGGCCGTTGCGCTCACTTGGGGAGTGAATCATCGGACGGAAGATCTTCCTCTCTGTCTCTCCCCTCTGTACATCTGCCTTTCCAATAAAAATAAAATAAATCTTTAAAAAAAAAAAAAGATGATTTCCAACAAACAAACTTCTATGTTCCTTAACTTGAACAATTCCCACCAAGCCTTTCACTGGCATCAGCTGTGTGCTTTGAAGGGACACATGATATGCCATAATGAATGCATTAAAGTGTAAATTAATTTATTGCAGGCCATAGAACAGAATTTGACTTTGACCTTTCTAAAAACATTTGGAAAGATCAGGCCATTTATCTGAATCAACTTCAGGTGCAGCTAATCAGGCTTCTGCTCAAGAAAATAACCCGTGGAACACTCATTATCAGGAAGCCAAGGCCAAGGAGGAAGCACACACTCTGGAAGCGCCTGGTGGAAAACGCACCGCCAGGCCAACTGACTCGACAGCACAGTGCCCCCGGAATCTGTACAAATGCTTGGTAGTGGGTTAAACATGGAGAAGAGATAATACAATAATACAGCAAACAGCAGCCATTTGGTGTCCATGTGCAGTTGACAATAACTACAGCAAACAGCAGCCATTTGGTGTCCATGAACCATGGTTGTGTAAGCAGCTAAGATGGCCTCTTGGTATCACAATCACCTGCCTTGGTTGGTCCTTTGGTCACTGTCTGGCCCAAATAAGACAGCTGATGTGCATGTGGCAGGGATGGAAAGCAGATGAAAAGAAGATGCATCCAAGCCAGCACTGTCCTTCCTCAGAGAGAGGGCGTCTGCAGGAGAGGCGACAACCCACCTTGGGAATGGGCAGCCCAGTGCCCAGGGTCTGCTGGATCCGTCAGCAGGGCCATCACCCATGGGAGAAGCTGACTTCACTGACCAGGGGCCCAGGTCTGGGGGCTCTCACCTGCTGTGGGGCTTGAAGAACGTCCTGGGCTGTTGCTATGGCGACAAGAGCCCTTTTGTCTGCCCGGTGAGGCTGCAGGGAAACAGATAAGCCAGCCACCAGCTGCACACCCAGCTCCGTGATGGTGACGCGGTCATCCAGGACAATCACCGTCTTCTCAGCCAGGATGGAGTCGGACAGAGGCGAGAGCACCTGGAAGGCCAGCGGGAGGCTCGTATCTCTGCTCCACAGCATAGGGCCTAAGCTCCTTTGTGGACAGAGCCATCGATGCGCTCTCCCTGCTCTTGACAGTCAGGGATGTGCCACACGGGTGAGTGCCATGCTGCTGCCCAGTGGCACCTGCCAATCACTGGAGTTTTGTAAAGATCCCTTTGGTTCACTCTCTGTCCTTTGAGATGCACCACGAGAGCAGCCATGTATCTTCCAGGAAGCATTTGATTGAAGGGCAATAACTAAACTGCCTTTGTTGGGACTTTTCCAACAACTCCTTCTTAGGTTTTAAAGATGGGAGACTTGTGGTAAGGAAATGGTGCCGAACCCACCTCCCAGCTAATACCCCTCTGGTGGACAGGCCTATCTCTTCTAGGACCATCCATACTAATGTCCCATGGCTAGCCTTAAAACAGTGAGATTACCCTAAATTAGGGTAATTACCCTAGATTACCCCATGGACTCAACATCGTCACATGGGTCCTGAAGAGTTTCCAAGCTGAAAGCTGAAAGAAAACTCAAGAGAGACTCAAAGCGTGAGAAGGGAACAGCTTGGCCCTCCTGGTGATGGGAAGGGACTACGTGCACCTCTCACCCCAGGGTGAGCCATCAAGCAGCAGTGACCTCAGAACTGTAAACACGAAGAACTAGGTTCTCCAAGAGTCAGCTGAGCTTGGAAGCCAAATCATCCCCAATACTCACAGACAAGGGCTTGGCCCAGCCAAGACACCGATGCCAACAGCATCACACCTTGAGCATAGCACCTAGTCCACCCTGCTGGGACCCACGGGCCACAACTTAACAGGTTAGCGCAGCTTTCAGGTGCCAAATCTGCAGCAATTTCTTATATAGAAACAGAAAAGCAGCAGAACACATTATGTGTCACCCCTATGTGCCTAAATTAACTTTGGTCACATACAAAATACGATTTAACTAATTTACTATGAGCAATAACATTTTTAATTTGTATAAGGAAATAAAAAATACGGTGGTTGGATATTATACAATGCACATATGCAATGAAACATCTCACAGTACCACGTAAGTGTTCAAGGGATAAGAGAACTAAATGATTAAACTTGGAGGTGTGGGCAAAACCAGCTCCCAAAGGGCCCACCACCTTCTGCCAGCAGGGTACCACACTGGGCAGAGGTTATCTGTTCTCAACCCTTCACCATGCCAAACTCAACCTGAGTTCTAGGTTGCCACGTGGCCGCTCATCTCCCACACATATGTGCATGTGGGTAATTGGCACACACACACGCTCGTGTGCATACGTGTGTGTGCACACACAGCTGACGTAGGCACAGGCAACAGAGCGGGCAGCCTTACCTGCACAGTGGTGATCCCCGGCTCCCGACCAGCCAGCGTCCTGCCATCCTGTAACTGGGCGACTTTTGGCTCCTCCACCTTCATGAACTCCGTCACAAGGTCAGTGATGTCAAACTGCCACTCGGAGCCCAGCATGTAGGTCAGCTGGCCCAGGTCCGGAGACTCAGTCACAAACTGGGTGAGGACGCGCACCACGGCATGCTGGTACTGCAGGGAGCACCCGCGCCCCTTCTTCTCCTCGTCCTCCTCCTCATCGCTCTCGCGGGTGGGCCTGGAGCATTGGCAAACCCAACAGAGTAAACACCGTCTGTCACAGTCAGCATCTACGTGATGACAGGGGGAGAATTGGCGGCCGGGCTCCGCTCCAGCTGCCGCCCATTCACCCCTTGCCTGTCCACTCACTCAACAAGCACCTGTCAGCCCACACCAGGGACCAGGCGGATAACAGGTATGGACCCCAGATAGGTAGGGCTGGGTCTCTGCCCCTGGGTTCTAGAGGCACCATTTAAAACTTCTCCCTAGGCAGGAATGACATGGCACTCCTTGTCTGGGCAGGGAATGTGGGGGTTCCTGTGGCTGGAGAACAGAGGCTCCACTTCCTGACTCCTCTCAGCCTTGAGCCATCACCCCGCTTTGAAGCTTTCAACCTGCAACATATAACCAAGCTGCTCTCGCCAGCACTGTTGCCAGACACTGCCGGCTGCAGCGAGCTTTCTGCCCTCAAAGGGTTCACCCACTGCGTGGAGGCCTCCTCCAGGTGGACTGATCTGACATCCAGGACTGTCCTGTAGCTTCCTGACAGGAAGTGCCGCTGACTTAGTGTCTGCCCAAGCAGGAGACGGGCCTCTCAGAGGCCGGTGGCCGTCAGAGTCCTGTGTGAGTGAGCGTCACTTCGCTGGATCCTGCCGACAGCCTCTCCCGCCACTGTCTTTCTCAACTTGCACATGAAGTAACTGAGGGGTAGACGGAGTAAAGTCACTTGGCCAAGGATCCCACAGCTCCAAGTGGGAAAGCCAGGGACACAGCTACAGCCGCCTGATTCCCGAGCCCACGGCCTTCGCATGGAGCTGTGTCCCGGGATGCAGGGAAACTGAGCAGCAGGCTCAGAGGAACGAAGACCGGAAAACAGGACACCTGAAGGCCAGGTCTGGTGCCGAGCGCTGCCTGCCCAGTGCGCCCAACGGTCGCCCCATGAGGCAGTCGCCCTCACTGCTGTTGGGACGAGCACCAGCTTCATTAGAACACCCTCATGCCACGGTGCAAATAAAGTCCCTCGTCACAGTCATCTAAACACCAAGCCCAGACCACAGTTACCCCTGTGGGTGCCGCTTCCTGAAAGTCAGCTTGCCTCCCATGACGGTTTGAGCCCAGGAACAAGGCCACAGTCCTCCTGCCCCGGCTCCTCACCTTCTGTTGGAGGCCACCGGGATCCGCCAGCCTTTGATCTGGCTCAGCTCTGTGTCCGAGATCTCGATCTGCAGGGGCAGCCGGGGCGCCCAGACCGTGACTTCTAACTGGGACGTGAAGTGCTGGTGGGTGAAGTTCACGATGGTGTCCACTTTACTCTTCATTTCTTTCCCATTCACAAAAATGGAGTCACAGTTGTTGGAAACCTTGGCAAAGAGGAAGGACCCCAAGATGCATTAGCAGGAGAAAGATGAGCAGAAATTGACAATGGTGACACCTGATGGGCTGCAGCAGCCCCGGTGTACTGAACGCCACGGCAACCAGAGAACATGGCTTGTGCAAAAGATAATTTGTAGGCACTAATTAGGGACAAATACTGATAAATAGACTCCAGGAAAACCACTTTGTGTTACAAAATCCTGACAAGCAAGACCATAAACATAATTTAATGAAGCTGCATAACCTCCATTGGCTTTTGTCTGTGTGTTTTCTCCACCTTGCCTTTTTTATGTACTCAGACTATCACTGATCAAACCCCAGGTGCATCTTAGTTCACTCTTGTACCATTTCTGAAGGTGCATAAAAGTTTTTCATGTTACTAAAAAAGGCACTTTCTTCAAGTCACAAAGATCTTCTGAAAAATCAAAGACAGCTTTGAACTAGATTAAAATCCTGGTAGACAAAACACTCGTGACGTGTGCTAGAAACACAGCTGTAATGAGGCTGGCCCTATTGGACAGCGTGCCAGTGCGGACGTAGCACCCTGCTTTAGCCTCTCACTCAGCCTTGGGGTACCTCATTTCTGCACACACCAGCCCGCGGCAGCCCCCTTTTCACTTCCCGTCTTGCAGACAGCCAGCCAGCACATTGCCGAGTTCTCTCCGGAACCACAGGACAATGCGTCTGTGTGTCTTGGTGGAGAACGGGAGGGGGGAGCAAAGTCACTTCTGGTGTGTCAGACACTAAATGACCCATCACTGCACGACAGTCACAGAGTTAAGGACCTAGGTTCTGATTTTACAGATGGGAAACCGAAGCCAGCAAGGTGACCCAAGGCTCAGGGCCACACGCCACTTCAGGGGCGCAGCAGCAGAGCCTGCCCCCCAAAGACCACGTGCCCATCTTCCCTTCCTCAGCTGGACTGACAACAGCAGCTCAGCATGCCTACACGGCCAGTGGCCCGCTGGACATCAACAGGCAACTGGCTCAGTAGCGATGCCACAGGCCCAACGCCCACTCAGAGACGAAACTGCCAAGGGTGCGAAGCAAATCACCCCCACACCTCAGCAATGGCACGACTGAAGGTGCTCCATTCAGAAGGAAGAGCTCAACAGCCCACCAAAGAGCTCACCAGTGACACTAAAGATCCAGAGAAAGTAACCGGGGGACACCCACGACTCCCCAGCGCCCCCAGTGAGGGAGACAGACACCTGTCCCTCCTGCGTCGCAAACCCAACACACCTTTAAGGGTGCTGAACTCACCTGGGACTTTGATATCGTCACCCTGGCCCCCAGGGCATGAGCAGGGCACCTGGGCAGCCGCCGGGAGGCAGGCAGCACCCATTTCTGGGGCACCTTCCTTTTTCTTTATAACATAGCAGTCCCCAGGCCTCTGCTGCCCAGTCACATGCCCCCAAATCCCCGTGGGAGCTGAAAAGGATGTTTCTTGGGCTTCTGAAACTTGAGTATCCATTCTTCCCATCCCACTCTTTGGCTGACTTTTCAAATGGGAAGAAGAAACATGCTGAAGCACAAGGCATCTTCGAGGGACTGAAATCTGCGTGACTGCTCCCAGGATTGCAGGAGCCACACAAGATTTCCATTGAGAGCAGAGAATGGAACGGTGGCTGGCATCCTTGTGTTTGGTCCCCGCGATGCTGACACCGGCTGAGCCTGCCTGTCATCCATTAAGGTACCGAACAGGGTCTGGGGCACCCTTGTATGCTCCTGCTTTCCCCCAGGAGCATTGCCCTGGGAGATGCTGAAGGCTCAGCGCTAGCCTCTCCCCCGACTCAGTGTTGCTCTGTCCGCCCCGCAAGAAATGCTACTGCGGATGCTTCCGGGGCTTACGCTCAGGGGATGCTTCTAGCTCAGGGGGCGTCACCTACTGCTCAGACTCTCCCAGCCCCACCTCTCAGCTCTCTGGCACTGGTGGAAAATTCTAGATCTTCCTCATTGGCTGATCTGCCTCCCCACTCAAGCCTACATCAAGTCACTGGCTCCCATGCCTCTAATGAGAACGCAGCAGCCGTGGAAGGCAGATGCCTTTCCTGCACATGAGAAATGAAATCCCAGCTAGGGACCCCGCATCCTTTGCAGCACTGGCCAGCAAGGCCTGACCCTCCCATGGGCACAGGGAGTAAACCACCCATATGGAAAAAGTGAATTCATTAAAAACACAATGAAGTGGGTGAGCTTAGCAATTCCAAGTGGTGAAAATCATTTGAGGTTTTCTTATGGGACAGTCATACTCTTTATTAAAAAAAAAAAAAAGTGTGTGTCCCTCATTCTTAAAACATCCCAATCGCAGCTCACTATATCAAGTGCTGAAAGCTGAAGGACATGGCGAGTTCTAGGACATATAACAGATGTACAAAAGGCAGTCTGTCAATCAGGGCTCATCAAGACTCCACCCTCCCTATATGTCCATTGTGAAGTCACCTGCTTAGCTGTAACCCCCAAATTCTACCCAGGCGCCGGGAGGAAGCAGATCCGAGAACATCATGGCTGTCCAGCTCAAGGTAGCACACCGGCACCCTGCTTTCATGCCTTAGCTGTCCCCCAAGATAGGACCACAGCTGGACAGGGCCAGGGCAAGTGGCAGGGGTAGGGGCAGGGCCAGGAACAGGGCAGGGACAGGGGCAGGGGCAGGGCCAGGAACAGGGCAGGGACAGGGGCAGGGATAGGGCCAGGAACAGAGTAGGGACAGGGACAAGGACAGGGGAAATGGGGTCTGAATCCTCTTCAGCACATGTGAGTGGGGGCCTTCCAGCAACGCACTGGGGTTCTGCTCTGTACAATGAAGAGAATCTAGCAGGATCAATGTCCTGAGGATTTAGAATTACAATCAGAGAGGGAGAGAGAATGAGTGAGTGTGTGCATGTGTGTATGCTGTGTGTGTGTTGGGTACGTGTGTGTGTGTACATTGTGTGTGGCTGGGTATGTGTGTTTATGAGGGCTTGTCAGCAAGTTAGGACAAGGTCATGAAAAATGTTATTTACAACATCAAGAAAAAAGCTATGCCTGGATTTCAAAAGCTTTTGCACCAAGTAATCTTAGCTTTTAATTCCACTTTTCTGTGAAATTTTACAAATGTTAAAATTTCATATTTTTTAATATAGACATAAAGAATGAATACTACGTGAAGAAACACCTTTGGTGCGCCACTGTCGTCTGGTGAAGCTGCACTGCAGACAATGTGGAGCTCAGCACAGTGGACCCTATCTCCACCCCCGTTGCCCCATCAGATGGCTCCGTGAGCCGGGCTCCCTATACGAGAAAACAGACAACGCTGGTCCTTTTCCACAGGAGGACAAGCCCTGCCCAGGTCACAGCCAACCAGCTCAGACCCCTTCACAAACACTACCAACATGCCGCCCCTCATCAAGGCAACGCCAGCACCCCAGACACAGGAAGGCAACTTGGTGCTCAGCTTAGCACTGGTCTATTTGTGGGATGTTTTCTTTTTAGCATTTTGTCCTATGACGTAAGGAGATGTAAAAAGCACTTCAGTGCTCAAAGCCCAGGAAAGGAGCCAGGCCCTTCACACTCATCAGCCAGCACCCAGAAGGCATGCGGGGCTACTTGTGCTGTGGCAGCCCAGCATACAGCACGCACAGCCTCCAGCAGCGAGCCAACCTGCTGAGCACAGGTGCTGGGGCTGCAGGCTGAGGTGTTGAGGTCTTGCACGTAAATTAGTCACAGAACAGAAAACAACCAGTTTGGGAGCAGAACCATAGTCTGCAAGGAAAAGGAAGAAAACCAGTTATGATCTCCCTCCCTCCCTCCCTAAAAAAAGAAACTTCTAGAGAAGAATGCTGTGCATTTGTGAAGTTGAGATGCAAACGCTGTAAGTGAGGATTTTTATCTCCAAGAGCAATACAAATGGCAGCCCACACTGTCGCCTGCTCTGGGACATAGGAAAGCCAAGACGAAAGGACCAAGATGGGAGATTCTAACAACTCCTAGAGAAGGCTGCGTACCCAGTGATTTCCAGAGACTCCCAGCAAACCAGAGCTCAGCCACGAGAAAGACAACACCCCAACAGCACAGCCACCAGGATCTGCCCCGCAGCAGCCACAGGGAGGAAGGCCTGGCTGGAATCCTGGATCTTCAGTTCCTCCGGACAGACAGCCCAAGAAGCAGCTCCAGAGTAAAACCAGAGTGTTAGGGTCAGCTCAAAGAGCTGTGCATGTGTCACCTCTCTGCATGTCGGCGGCAGGATCCCAGACCTCGCCCTGAGGAGCCTTCACCAATGCAGCTCAGCTCACCCAGCTTCAAACACACGTGCCCAGAGCAGAATCCAGTTTACACAGACATTTCACCCATTTCACAGCACGGCCAACCTGGAATAAGGCCAAGAGCAAGGCTGGTGGGGGTTGTTCAATCCCTCCCACACCTGCTGCCCAGGGGGGCTCTGCTTGAGAAGGAATCTGGGCTCAGGCGTGAAGGTGCACCGGGACTGGCTGCTGCTGTCTACTCGGGCCCCAGGCTGGGGACAGTGCCACCGGGACTGGCTGCTGCTGTCTGCTCAGGCCCCAGGCTGGGGACAATGCCACCGGGACTGGCTGGTGCTGTCTACTCAGGCCTCAGGCTGGGGACAGTGCCACCGGGACTGGCTGGTGCTGTCTACTCAGGCCCCAGGCTGGGGACAGTGCCACCGGGACTGGCTGGTGCTGTCTGCTCGGGCCCCAGGCTGGGGACAGTGCCACCGGGACTGGCTGGTGCTGTCTGCTCAGGCCTCAGGCTGGGGACAGCGCCACCGGGACTGGCTGGTGCTGTCTGCTCAGGCCCCAGGCTGGGGACAGCGCCACCGGGACTGGCTGGTGCTGTCTGCTCAGGCCTCAGGCTGGGGACAGTGCCACCGGGACTAGCTGCTGCTGTCTGCTCAGGCCCCAGGCTGGGGACAGCGCCCTTCCACATGATTTCTGTCATTCTGCTCCAATGGGTGAGCCCATATACCTTTGCACATTCCTTCCAGGCCCCA